CGTATTTTAAAATTGTTTTTTTTTTTTTTTAATAACTGCAACTTCAGAATGAAGTATATTCGTTAAAATTATCGAGATTGTACACTTCGTGCTTCATAAAAATATTCAAAATTTTCACTATTTTATTTTAAATCAATAATTAATGATATAACATAAGTTTTATATTTTTAAATAAAAGAAAAAACAATTGTTTTAAAAATAATTCTATTTGGTTAATATGAATGTCATTATACAGTTAATTTAATTTTTTTTTGTATTTTTCATATTTCCATATTTAGTATTTTCCGCCATATTATAATGAAGCGGGTAATAGATTAAGAGTGTTAAAACAATTAAATTTTTAACTCATCTGTTTTGTCGTGATCATTTCATTTTGTTTTTTTAGACTTTTTAATAACGAAACGATAATATTTCAATATTTATTATACAGTCATTATCTTATAAATTAAATTTATTATAGTTATGCTCATCCGTGTATCTCGACTTTTTTCGTTTAATCTCGATGATAAAACGTAACCAAAAAAAAAAAAAAAAGAAAGAAAATAATTATTAAGCAATACGCAATATATGAAATTCACGATCAAAAGGGATCAGTTCGTTGACAGATCAACGAGGTTCAATCGAATATATCGAAAACGAGAACACACTTTGATTCTCGTTCTTGCAAGTAATTTATTTCAAGGTTATTCATATCGATTTTTTTATTCAATTTCGTTATACAAAAAATTCGTTATTATTACGTGTATTAAATATTCGTATTTATCGTGGATCATTTGGTAATCTTAAAAATCAAATCAAGTATTAGATAGATAAATAATTAGATAATATTATTATTAATTATAATAAATATTATTACATATTATAATTAATATACATATATTAATATAATTATATATATATTATATTATATTATTTATTATTTATTTAATATTATAAAATTTAATATTTAATATTAATTTTATTTATATATATATTAAATATATAATTTATTTATTGTATCGATATATTTATAATATATAATTAATTAATTATATATTAATATTCGATGACATCAACTTACGTTTGATTACTACCACTCTCTTAATCCCTAATCGATAATAATCGATATCATTGTTCGATTAATATTTCGAAAATGAACGAACGAACGTGCAACATTTTAAAATTTCATTTAATGTATCCATTTTGCATGAATTCGACAACGATATTATTAAAAATAAAACAAATAAAAAGAAATAATACATAAAATAAATCGAGTTATTCGAAAACACGTGGAACTAAAAATACGAAATGAGTAGAAGTGTTGTTTGAATGCAAAGATCGAGATCTTTTTAAACGTTGTCAGTTTGTTTTTCCTTGACAATGATTAAAACAATTATTTCCTTTTAATCTACTATGGCTGCATAGACTTGTCGTTAATGTAACTTTGCTGTTCGTTTTAATTTTTCTTTCTTTTACTATTATTATCATTATTACTTATTTGTTGTTGTCTTTGATAAAAAAACATAAATAAAAATGGATGATCGAAAATTGATCTTTAAAGAGAAACATAAATCATGTGATCTCGATAATGCGTCATATAGATCATCAATAAAAATCCCCATCGCCGGATCCTCTTTGAATCATGATCTCCGCTTATGATGATGATTATTATTATTATTATTATGATAAACCCCATTATTTAAGTTTCACATAAATTATCTAAGATGATTTATTCTCGTAATCTCATTCCTTCTATTAGTAATAGTAATCGAATGGTATTACCGTCTTAATGATTATTTTCATCGCATGACGTGTCTATTGTTTTTCCCGCAAAAAAAAAAAAAAAGAAAAATGTCTTCTGCGATTTAAAAATCAAACATCGTGAAGCTGCTTAACGCGCGAAAAATAAATACGTTAAATTCTCGACATTGGTACTTAGCATCTTTTTTTTTTTTTTTTGATTTAACAATTATAATGCGAATTTTTCTCTTTTTTATCTTTTTTTCATTTCCTTTTCTTCCATTGCATTTAGTTTTATGTAGAAAGATAAACTACGTTTAACCCATTACCCGCCAATGGCTTCTTTTATTGGCGCGCGTTTTGAAATTGTTTTTTTTTTATAACTGCAACTTCAGAATGAAATATATTCATTAAAATCATATGATCGTACACCTCGTGGTTCATGAAAATATTACAAATTCTCAGTATTTTATTTTAAATTAATAATTATAGTAATATTAATACTCATTATTAATAAAAAAAAATATAATAATATTTATAATTAATAGATATATATTAAAATATAATATAATATAATAAAAAATAATATATTTATTATAAATATATTAATTATTATTTATTATATATATTATTATTTTAAATAATATTTTATTTTTTATTTATTTATTTATTATTAGTAGTTAATATTATAATTTAATTTTTTTTTTGCATTTTCGTATTGTGACAGGTAATGGGTTAATTTGCGTATTGGAAATTTGTTGACAAAATAGAAAAAAATAATCAAAAATAATAATAAAAAAAAGAATAAGGAAAATCAAATGTCATCATTTAAAAATAGACGGTGGTATAAATTTTTGTAATAATTGCAAATTTTAAATTAACGAATAAGACAAGCTTTTTCGTTTTTTTTTTTTTATATGTTCACATTTATTGATATCAATGTTTAATCAATGTTAATATTAATTCATTATTTTATATACTTTATTATATTTTATTATTTTTGTTTTATTAGAGCTATATTAGGTTGTAATTTCGGAGAGTAATTTTGTTTTTTTTTTATTCTAATGCTAAATAAAAGACAATTTTGTTTTTTCGTAAACCTTCGATAAATTTCGGAAATTATATTTTGATGTACTTGAGTTAAATGAAAATAATTTTATTCTTAAATGACAAGTAATCTTTGTCTTGCACTGTAATATTTACCGTTAAGATAATAAAATATAAAGAATGAAAAATATGACAAAAATATTGGATTATAACTTTTTATTTCTGGTGAGATGGCAGAAAAATAAAACCCATTCGATGGATCGAAATACAAGACAGGTTTCTAAATCACGTATGAAGAAGTAGGATCTGTTGCTGTTGAATGTTAAATGATTTTGAAGTTTTAGAATTAAATTCGGTGTCGGTAAACGTGACTTAGGAAATTTCTGTAAAAAAAAAAAAAAAAAGAAAAAAAAAACTCAAATTACTTTTCGCGAATAAACCAAACTAATTCGATTATTATGAAAATGTTAAAAACCCATAAATTGTATATGAATAATTTCATTAGTCAATAATTAAATAAATACAACAACAAAAAAATAATGATTAATAGTTGTAGTTTAATTTGCATTTACCATTCCATATAAAAATGTTATCTTTTATTCTAAAATTGACTGAGATTGATCACATCTTGTTTTTTTTTCTTTTTTAGCAATTTCTCATTCGAATATAATTTGAAATATAAGAATTTTACAAATGATTCTGTTCAGTTCTGACAGAAAATAATAAATTCGCAAATGATTCTAATCGATCAATTTTATTCATAAAAACTTTCAGACAAAATTTTCGAATTTTAAAAAAACCTAATCATAGAAGAAACAAATCGTTGTCAATAATCATCTGACATATATTTAATTAAAACGAAATTACAGTTATAATGTGAAGAAATTAGGATGGGAATGAGGGGGGGGGCAGGGGGTAGAAGAAAACAAATCAATCCGAACGATTTTAACGATCATTTCAATTGATTTTTACGATCATTCAGGGATTTCATTAATGTGATTTATCACTCATCTTAATTACAATTAAAAAGAAAAAAATAATAAACAAGAAATTATTGAATTGGCAAGAAAGTAATTTCGGTTTGCATCACCATAAAGTTATGTTTGTTTCGTTATTCTTTTGTTAATGTTAGAATTATTTTTCTTTTGAGGTTAGGTAGTTGATACTTTTAGGTTGCTATAGAAACAAATTCCGTGTAATTTTGTTTACAATTGTTAGTTTAGAAATAATTGAGTTTTATTTCACACTAGAAAACCAAAATTACCTTAGTAGTACAAAATATTGAAAAATATTGACTACATGTGTATTTAATATTAAAAAGAGATTCAATGTTCATTTCTAATAATTAATTGTTGTCAATTTTTAATATTAAATACACATGTATTTAATATTTTTCAATATTTTGTGCTATTAGGGTACTTTCTTGCCAACCCAATAAAAGAAGAAAAATTTAAATTGTTTGGAATTTTTTTTTCTTCTATTAGGACCATGGGAATTTAATTAGCATAAAATTTTCATAACGCTAGAATTTGAAGGAAAAAAAAAAAGAAAAAAAGTTCGAAAAACTTAGACGACTAGTTGAAAAGAAACCAAAAAAGAAAAAAAATGGCGCTAAACCAGTTGGGGGAACACGTGGTTAATAGTTGAATTCGTTTCACTGATTTTATCGATAAACTCGTATGGTTGTTAACGAGTATAACCGTTGACTTGTGTCTGAGAATTTCAAAGCTAAGAAAAATGAAGTTTATACTTTTAATAATCGGCGGCGAGTCGCGTGAAAAACCGGTTTTGTTGACGCGCGTTACGCACCATCGGCGTGTGTGTTGTCTCTTCTCGGTTCGTACCATAACCTGATTGCCATTTTCTATCTTGTAGACCATGTATCCTCATCATCAGTCGTGATCTTCCTAAGTTTCAACTCGGACGTGTCTCTCCACTTTTCATCGTTCAGGATTATCATAATAATCGTCGATGTTTACGCGCCTCATATTTTTTTCTTTTTGTGTTTTTTTTTTTTTTTTTCATTCTCGGGTAAAATCAGGAGAAAGAAAAATTATCTTTCTCCCTTTAATTTTTCTTTTCTTTTTTTGTTTTTTGTTTAATATATTTACAATTAGAAGAAAATTGTCCTTATTCTTCCCTTTTTTTTTTTTAACGAAGTATCAATTCAAGGATAAAAGTAAGAATGTTTTTTTTTTTTTTTTTTTTTATATATAAATATAATTACAAATTTGTCAAGAAAAAACGAAAATTCGCTTCGAGTTTACGTTTTATACGCACAAAATGTTAAAAATGTGTGTGACACACGTGTGTGAACCGAGTAGAGAACAAAAAGTAATTTCTTTTTTATTCATTGTTATTGTTAATTTCTATTTAAATTCTTTTTCAATTATATAATTTAGTTGTACCATTTTTTTAATGCTTTGCTGACATATTTATTTTTTTTTTTTTTTTTTTTTTTTAGTCAGATAATATATTTGAAATAATAATAATATTGCGTTAACAGTTACAAAACCATCTCGTTGATCTTCGGACCCACTCTTTCGAAGTATCGTATGTTGTTTGAATTGATTGAAACAATATTATTTAATACATTGCAATAATTAAATAGAAATGTTTTTTTTTTTTTTATATTGGAATTATCCACACGTACGCATATATATATATTTATTTATATATCATTATCCCATACATCCTGCATATTTATGAAACAAAGAATTACAAGTATGAGTTCAAATGAGATTAGATAAGTTTACGGATTAAGGATTACACATTATATAAAGATTATTATATAAAAGGAAGAAAAAATATTTCATGGAGTATATAATAAAAATACCATAGATCACATAAAGATAAAGATAAAAATAAAATGTCAAATTGAGAGAAAAATTTAACAAATTTGTTTAACCTTGCTTATACAAATTATGGAAGAGTAATAAAATTTATTTGTAATTTAGGAAAAAGGATGTTCAATTAATACGGAACGTTTCTAATTTCTTTTCTCACAAATATATATAAATATATATATATATATTATTAATAATTTATAATTAATAATATATTATAATAATTTTATATTATTTATAATAAATAATTTATAATTTATAAATATATATATTATTCACCATATAAATTTTGGTTAATTATTTCATTCGGTGTATAGGTTTCTCATCTAAATGTCAAGGTATCGACTACACTATGTCGTTGGTTTTGAAAATCAACGTATTCATTTGGGATTGGTTTGAAACGTGAAACGCGAATTTGCGTGAGTAACTTTCTTCGAAATTAAATTCACGCGAAGCGAAAGACAAACCTTTGCTTAAATGTATATATCTCTACACATCTCAACATATACATAGATACATATATATATATATGTATATATATACACATATGTATGTATATTTATGCATGTATGTATCCTTCAGATACAATGAAAACGAACATTTCGCGAATCTTCGATCTGCCGATCATGAACTTCCTCATTTCGTGATATAAACAAATATTTAAAAGGACGAGCACGTGTTAGAGCGTCGAATAGAATTTTAATCATTTCTCAAAGATATCTCACAAATTCTTCTGGTTCCTTCGAATCACAACACCGAACACGAATCTTGACAAAATGCTCCGAAATTTATTTCACCAAAACAAATCCCCCTCCCTTTATTCTACGAAAAACTAAATAAAATTCAATCAAATTAAACACGTTCGCAAAAAATTGATGGCATTTGTTTTTTTTTATAACACAAATAATTATAATTGTAATGTTAATTTTTTTACAACATATATATATATAACAAGTATTATATATATATTTGCTTAAAAACGTGTCTAAAAGTGTGTATGTTTATGTCAGCTTATTATCAATAATTATTTTGGTTATTAATAATAAAAAGATACCCCAAGAGTAAAAGAGAGTATAACGTATTACATTTGATAAACATATATTACCAATATTTCAATATTCATTTAAAAGTCCAATACAATGATACTTTTCAGTTTTGCATTATACATACGTGTACGTGTGTATATATATTCGCAACGTTTGTTATATTATCTACTGTTCAAGGTCACTCATTGAGTTATTAAACTTAAACGAAAATTTTCAACACTCATTCTCTTAAAACGTATTATACAATAAATTACTTCCTCTGTTATACCTTTTTAATCGTAGGTAAAGTTGACAATTTAATAACAACGATCATTCGATCTTACAATTAAATAATAAAATGTATAAACGAATAAATGAACGAATAAACATATGAAGGAATGTATAAATGAATGAATAAATGAACGAGAATGAACTAACATTTCAAATAAAATACGTGCCAAATATTTGACCTCGTTTTATTTTTTGCTATGAGTATAATATATATAATACATATAATCTTTGTATCATTTATAATTCCAGTAATTTACATGCGAATTAAATATGTAAATTCTGTTGAATAGAAAAAACAAAAGAATGAAAAGCAAAAAAAAAAGACAAGGAAGGAAAAAACCAGTAAGGTAATGTCGATCGGATTATTTATGATAGTTGAATGTAAATCGGTATACGATTTCTTTGGTAAACACACGCTTTATGGATATTTCAAATATTGCGCGTTTTATTAATCGATTCTCATATCGTTTTTTTTTCTTGTCAACTTTGTTTATATATTATATATATATATATAATATAAAATATAATATAATATATATATAATATTTATTAAATATAAAATTATAAATGATTGATATTCGAAAAAATAAAAATAAAAATACATAATTTATTTAATATAAAAAAATATATATATTATTATACAATACAATTAGATAATATCTAAACAACAAAAAAATACATAAGTATATCCGTTCTTTTATAAATTTTTATAAGCAATTATACAAAAATCAGCATCAGTTTTATATTGATTTAAAAAAAAAGGAAAAAATAATTTAGCACCAATGTTGATACGAACACGTTCCTATTTAAAATACGGTCAAATCTATCTATCTATCTATCTATCCATCTATCTATTTATCTATCTATCTATTTATCTATCTATCTACCTTTCTCTCTTTTTCTCGCACTCTTAACTTTGTTCCAAAATTATGTCGAGCAATACTGCGCATGTGCCAACACTTTTATTCGTTTTTTTCTATCTCTTTTAGAAAAAAACATTATTCTGAAAATGTAATGCGACAGAATCATCCGAATTCTTCTGAACAGATATAAAAGAAAAAAAGAAAAAAAGAAAAAAAGAAAAAAAGAAAAAAAGAAAAAAAGAAAACAAGACTAAAGAATAATACAAATTTATCAATTCTATGTTTGTTTGTTTTTTTCTTATCAACTCGAAACATTCTCCGAGAACTTGTCAGTCCCGTTTAAACGATTATTATCAATTAATATTATAAGATACAATATCTAAATGAAGATATTTTCTATTAAAAGTTACAATATATTTAGTGATGTAGTGATTAATCATTAAAATATAAACGAAAGTATTACACTTTGACATTCTAGTGCGGTTAACCTCAAAGTCTCAATTTCCCGCCGTTGAGTGTCGCTATTGTTAGGTATTCATAGTTAATCTTATTACTTTCATATAATCTATCTTACGTATAAATGATTTTTGAATATTACTGAATATAAATATGCATTAATATCTATACCTTACTGTCATCTATCTTTCATATATAAGGTGTTTTGTAATTAATGGTACAAACGACCAAATAATGATTTTATATGAAAAGATAGGTTTTATATGAACAAATTTGATTCTATATTTTTGACTTAGTTTTTTACATAGAATCATTACTTGCTTGCTTGTACCACCAGTTACAAAATATTCTATTTGGTTGGCAAGAAAGTAATTTCGGCTTGCACCAATAAATAAAGTTATGTTTGTTTCGTTATTCTTTTGTTATTGTTAGAATTTTGTTCTTTCGAGGTTTGGTAGTTGACACTTTTAGGTTGCTATAGAAACAAATTCCGTGTAATTTTGTTTACAACTGTTAGCTTAGAAACAATTGAGTTTTATTTCACATTAGAAAACCGAAACTACTTTCTTGCCAACCCAATACATATCTTTATTAGATGATTAATGTTACAGAGAGTACGGATACTTAACATCGTTCATTTGTACTTTCAGTGAATGAACAAGAGAAGATGCCTTACCGCCGTCAGCCTAAGACTCTAGAGAGTCTTAGTTTGCGGCAAGTATGTGAACATCTCCACCAGATGTGCCGCCAACTACAAACGTTTTCTCAAAATATGTCATCGGAATGGGCGTTCTCTTTCGCAAAACAGATTCTCAGACCTTATTATGTCAATGCCATACCCGCAAGCCTGCGTAGTCGAATTATTGAAGAAACTTCGAAAATGCTCTACACTCCTACATCGGGTGGTTCATTTTTAAATTCTGGTCCTGCTCCTCTGTATTTATTAACAGTGCTTCTTGGTCATGATATCAAACAGTTAAGAGTGAATCTTTGTTGTTATTACGGATGTAGCCATCAAACATTGCTTTTAGACTTATTAGCTTCCGAAGGAAAAGGAATACAGACTTTAGAACTGGCTCGTTCTGCCTTACTCACGTTAGAACCAAACCACTTCAACTCCGCTCTATTGAACATGAAAAATCTCTTAAGTTTGACTCTTCGCAATATAGCTAGCGATCAGATACTTGAAATCATTGGGAAAGCATGCACTAAGTTGGAAATTTTAGATGTAGCATGTTCGAAACAAGTGACAGATGAAGGATTGAGACAATTGTTAACGGAAAAAGAATTAAGAGACAACGAAATGGATACAAGTCCAGAGTCAACCAATTGGACCAAACTGAAAGCCTTGGTGAGCAAACTAAAGTCGAGACCTTGTACCAGATCCACCGCGAAAAAAAAGAAAAATCTTCGACTTTCTTCTTTGCAATATCATGAAAGTCGTAATCCTATTTGTAAAACCCTGAAAGTTCTTAATATTGCTAATACTTCTGTTACACACGCGGGCGTAATGAAGGCGTTATTAATGTTATCTAAACTGGAATCATTAGCAGAATACAATCACATGGGAGGAGTGGTAGAAATGATGAATGTATTAAATGATGATGTTCTACTTTCTTTAACACAAGCAAGAAGCTGTAAAACATCGGATGCTCATCTAGAACTTCTTGCTCAGTTATGTCCAAGAATTGAAATGTTACATATTTTTGAACCTCTTCATCCACCAGAAATGTTAAAATTATTTCCCTGTGTCACTTCTTTGAGGATACATGGTATTCCTGTTGATAATATATGGCTAAATAATTTTTATGAATATTTACGCACTAATGGTTCACAGTTGCAAGAACTTCATCTACACGTTATACGAAAAATCGCTATATTGACAATAGATTTGAAACATATCTTCAACAATTGTTCTAATCTCAGACAATTGATGACCGATGGCTCCAATATTATATGGTCGGAAGGACCAGATCCATCACCTCTCAGGGATTTACAAAAAGTTCGGTTGGGACATGAAGTATATGCCTTGGCTTTAACTAAAATTCTCTCCTTAGCCCCACAATTAACAACCCTTCATATTCACAGATGTCCTGATTTAAACAGCTCACACTTCAAACAATTTTTTACAAAGCCCTTAAGGTTTGGTAAGAACTATAAATTAACCGACAAAATAGAAAATAGTTTAGTGCAGAATTTATCATGTTTCTTCATATACGAGACCAACAATATATCTGAGAAAACTGTGTTAGACATAATTAATAATTGGAGAAGCTTAAAAAAAATCGGTAATTTGAGTACTTGGGGTCTTTCTTTTAGTGGTATAACTGTTTTAAAAGGTTCGCTAGAAGATGCCAATTTAGATTTGGAATTGTGTAATGGTTCTCATTGGTTTTGGAGTAGTTGTATTCACAGTAACTTGAATACAATGTAGCTATAAAGACTGATTGTTTAATCGTTTTGAGGACAGCCTTTTTAAGTATTTTTAAGACCATGACATTATTAATTAGCTGTTTTATCAAAATCACTATATATTTAATATTTTTCAAAGACTCTTCATTTATCAGTATTAAAAATTCAATACGTATTTACTATGTGACGAGTTTTAAAATATAAAACGAAAAAAAAAGAGGAGAAAAATATAATATAAAGTTGCGATTTTCGAATTAAATTTAAATTTAATATAAAAAGACAAAAGTATATTTTTTGTAAAAAAAATTCAAATATTACGAATGAATATTAATATTAATTGTTCAAAAATATTATATTATATCATACAATAATGTTTAAAATTAAAGTATTCCAACGAAATATAATACTAATAGGGTATAAGAGTTAATAGTTTTATCGAAAAGTTCAAAATGAAGATACTGTCCTTTTATCGAATTTTGTTAGTAAAATATAACAAGAATATAACGGCAGGAATTCAATTTAATATACACCCATTAGTTTATCTATTGATAAGAGGGATACTTTTTTTTTGTAAAATAAATCAAATGACAAGGAAAATCAAAAATTATATTTCCTATCTTGTTTCGAGTAAACAATAATAAGGACAAATAAAAATGCAATTCATGAATATATATATACACATATATATATTCTGAGTCCAATTATAATACTTAAAGAGAAAAAATATCTGTTTTATAAATTTTTTAAATAATCCTTTCAATATAATTAAGTTTTATGATTAACCATTTCGTTATGGCCTTTTGTTTAATATAAATTCGTTAGATTTTCTTTTTACATTCATAAGATACAAAATGTTAATTAGAATTTAATTAAAATGAATTACATTGTTTGTAAAATGTTAGATTTAACTTTGTTGTTATTATAATATATCAAACTTACCTCCGATAGGCCATGAGATTGTAGTATAAGATTAATAAGTTTGGTATCCGTTTGAAAAATTTTGTATGTCATATGTAACTGTTTAGCTGGTGGATCTTCCGGAGGTGTGGACAAAGCGCAACACCTAAAAAAAAAAAAAAACCAATAAGAATAATAAAAATAATGTATAACTATAATAAAATAAATATTTTCATTTTAAATATACTTACTTAAAACGTAAAGTAGGCGCTCTGTTTCCAACCGGATGATTCAAGAGCCATTCGTTGTTTATTGGACTTTGATCTTTCGTTGTGCTATAATTCACCAATAAAAAAAAAAACAAACAAAAAAATATATAAATTATAATAATAATAATAATAACAATAAAAGGAAAAGAATTTGTTTCAATTTTTACCGCGTGTTACAAAATGCGATGGTAACGTAGTTCGAGTAGTTTCAGCAAAACTTTAACAGATGGCGTTACTCTTCATTATATATTAAAAGTCGATAAAGTAGGTAATATTTCGGCGGGAATATTTTGAAAAAGTATTAGAAAGTAGATTAAAAACAAGGAAGTATAATACTTGCAATTAAAAAAAAAAAAGGAATCACGCTAATCAAACTTTCACTTTGTATTCTGTTCGTTTGCTCACTTGCTCGAACCACGATTAACATAATCGCGATAATTGCTTACATAAAATAATTACGTTTACTTCTTTCTAAATTATTCGCGAAACGTTTTACTTCGATAATTAGAGAAAACTTGTGCATTCCCGGTAATTAAATGCACTCATGCATACTACGTACTTAATCAAATAAACTTCAACGGTAATTAACTCTTCACTTGTACAAAGATACGCGAAAAAGAAAAAGAAAAAGAAAAAAGAAGAAAATTTCTTAAAAACCGAATTGCTAATTGCAGTCACGTAGAAAAATAATCGAAGTGCATACAAATTGGCAGGAACGTAACACCATTTGAAATAGTTTATCAATATACTCACCGTTTATCGGTATTAGAGTTGTGTGGTTTATGCACGAAAGGTTCGAGAGCTTCCTCGCTACTATTGGATAATTGTGACATGCCAGAAAGACTGGAGGATGACATTGACTCTTTAGGTCGTTTTCCATCCAACTTTCTTATCGTAGTGCCTTTCCTTTGGGACAACATGATCGATCCTATACAAATCATACAGAAGAATAATATTCAGATCAAATGTTTTATAAATAACCAAAAGATTTTATCATCAAATAAAATTCCTTTATAGCACGAATATAAAGTTTCTATTTTGTATTCTTTATCTTTCTATATCTAATAACTGAATTACAAATCAAACGTTGCTTTAAATCGAAAAAAATCTTTTGAACGAGAGACATCGTAGACTAGTACCAACCCTTACGTATTATTTTTCAATACTTGTTCTACATTTAGCAAATTATTACCATGAACATAACTAATATCGATCGGGATACGTCAATGATCTTGTAATATGAATTAAGTTAAAGAAAATGATGTCAGGGGTTGTTCTTCTTAAGTAGTATTAAAATACTTATCACACAATACCACCTCAAGTCCTTCGAGATATACACACCTGGAAGGTTTCACCTTAGTCGTCATTTCTCATAGATGTTAAAGAAAAGACGGTACATAAAACTGTGACCTTTTAAAACTACTACTTTTGTATCAAAAATAGAACAAAATTAAGAAGAACACAAAATCTTGTCGTAATATCATTCCTTTAAAAATAAATTTATTTATTGAGGCTTTCCCATTCATGTTAGGCTATTCATTATAACCGAGTATCCAAATTATGCACGAAGCAAAGTTCGTAAAGGCCACGAGTAAGGGTTGTGTATAGTTCTACCCTTGAATCACAAGACGTTATTTTAGTACCTAACATAAGTGAGTTTTGTTCTATGCTTTCAATACAAGTGTACCAGTACTCGAACTTATTATTCCAAGCATACATGCATTTATAAACACACACACACACGTGTACATTTATATATATAACATATATATTAGTATATAATAAATTATTATATATATTTTATAATATATTTAATTATATTTATCTGTATCTAACTCAATGTATTATTAAAATAAATAAATAAATAAATAAATATATATATATATATATTTATTTATTTATTATTTTATATATTATTATATTATATTATATTATATTATTTTATATTATATTATATTATATATTTTTATATATATAAATGTACAGTACTAGTAAAAAGTTAAAAATAGTTTATCGATTTCCATAAAAAAATTTCCGATTTTAATTTTAAAACGATGATGTGTCTTTGTTACATCAAATATTAATAAATTGGATAATGCAATAGCAAATTTTCAAAATGGTTTTTTTATAACGACAAATTCACTTGAATGTAGATAAAAGAATTAGAAATGAAATAAAAATGAAATAAGTTCAAATGAAATAGTAATAATTGTATTTTCAAGGATTGTATTTGAAATACCACAGCATCATTGCTTCAAGTTTCCTTCTTTTCTTTTCTTTTCTTCTTTCTTTTTTTCTTTTTCTTAAAGTTTAACACGAGAACGTGTCACGAAAGGTCGTACATATGCCAAATCTAACTTTCTACACTTAGATTGTTAATATTCGTTTAAAGAATAGAAAAGGAAAGGAATGGTGAAACACGAAGGAAATGACAAGACATTTGTAAAAGAAAAAAAAAGAAAATAGGTTCAAGAATAACCAAAACGATTCATTTTGTTATTTTCTTTTTTTTTTCCTTTTAACATTTCACGAATCATCGATCATTCGTACAAATGAGTTTGACGATACCCTCTTTTCCACTTGTTTTTTTCTTTTTTTTTTTAACACCAAAATCTACATATTGGCATTATAGTACCCTCGGTCATCACGCAGAACGTAAAAAACAGGTAACAGGGAGTGGACTACTCTGTGCGTGAGTCACTCAAGTGATTATGCGATTGTAATGCATCGTTTGCATAAGAAGGAAAAGGGAGAAAGCCGTTTAATATATTTGATAAACCACGAACTTTATGTATCTGTAATATATTATAATAAAACATTAATACTCGACCCTCTTGTAATACGATTAATTTGTTTCGTGTTAATATTTAAGTGAAACAAAAATTGTAAATTAAAATTAGATATATGAAATGGTGATACAAAGATTGTCAGATTTATACAAACTTTATATAATAGGGAAGTTGGACAGATGAACAAAAAAATCAAAACATATTGTTTTGATTTTACTAGATATACCACCATTTTCGGTATACCTATTTCTACCACACTAGTCAAAATGACTGATGTATAAAAAAATGCTTTTTGAGGCTTACCAGTCTTTATTTACTCTTTAAAAATAACAAAAAATGTTTAACAATAATAATTTTAATAGATAAATGGATTTATAGACATTTTTAAATAATAAAACGCTTAATTATTTATAGAATTCAAATGTTACATGAAGAAGAAATTTTGAATTAAAATTGACTTGTTCAGCAATTATAAAATATAAAGATTACATAACCTTAAAAGTAATTGATATTTAGATCATTAGACACTAGTCTAGATTAATTACTGTTTAATTTATATGTTTAATTTTCAATTTATGACGTTATCAACGAATTTTTAATCAATCAGCATACATTATTGGTGCTAGGTTTAGTGTATTTGTTATAAAAAAAAATAAAAAATATATAATATATGTCTTATCAATACATAGAAGACTCGGAAAATTGATGATCGAGGTATAAATAAAAAATATTATTATACATTTAACGTTTCGAACAAATATGTATTTTTAAGGTTATGTAATCTTTGTATTTTATAGTTGCTGAAGAAGTTCTAATAAAAGGACGAAACGTTCAATAAGATTAAAACAATATGTTTTGATTCTTTTTTCACCTGTTTAACTTCCCTATGATACAAAGTTGTGTATGTATGTATTTTTAAGGTTATGTAATCTTTGTATTGTATAGTTGCTAAAGAAGTTCTAATAAAAGGACGAAACGTTCAATAAGATCAAAACAATATGTTTTGATTCTTTTTTCACCTATTCAACTTTTCTATGATATAAAGTTGTGTATGTATTTAATAATTTTTGAGGTTATGTAATCTTTGTATTTTATAGTTGCTGAAGAAGTTGTAATAAAAGGACGAAACGTTCAATAAGATCAAAACAATATGTTTTGATTCTTTTTTCACCTGTTTAATTTCCCTATAATACAAAGTTGTGTATGTATGTATTTTTAAGGTTATGTAAACTTTGTATTGTATAGTTGCTAAAGAAGTTCTAATAAAAGGACGAAACGTTCAAAAAGATCAAAACAATATGTTCTGATTCTTTTTCGACCTGTTAAACTTCCCTATGATATATAAAGTTTGTATATGTTTTATTTTGTGGACGCAAGAAACAACTTATTGTCAGATTTTATTATAACACATAAATATACTATTGAAATTTTATTATATTAGAATTAAATGTTTACTATAATACAATTAATATTATGTATACTGTAATTAATATTATATTTCATTACATAATAAATTAATAAATAAACGATATTGCATTTATAATAAGCGTAAGCGTGTTGTTGTAAATTCATAAGATAATTAAAAAAAAAGGAATTTTTTGTTTAATTAAAACCTCGCTTCATTTGAAAGATATATTCATAAGTTGTTATTTTAGATGGGTAAACAAAACATGACCTACTTTGCTTAATGAAAATTCCTTTCTTTTTTACTTGCATTTGATTTATTTTCTTTTACACAAATTTCCAATTATTATACAAAATTCCAAAAAAATTGGATTTTGATGTTATTAAATATAATTATATAATATATCATATGAGTTTTTATATACGTATGAATCCTTTCTAATTTAATTGTTGGTTCGTGTCTATAAAAAAAATTATATAATATGATACTTGTGTAGTATGTTATAGTAAATAATAATAATCATTATAATAAGATTTAAAAGATACACGTATATGTGAGAACGAGTTAGTTTCAAATTGCATGTCAATCATATACAGGAATTAAATAATATTAAACGTAAAACTGTAAAAATAAAAAAAAAATAATAAAAATTCTATTACTTTCTATATAAATAAAAATCATAACTTGCACGTTATTGACGCATTTAAAATAATTAAATTAATATTCGATTAATACAAACATATTATCGCAAAATAAATTAGTTACCGCCTCCGAACCATCTAAATTTACAAATTAAAACTAAGAAATATTTATTTAGCATTAAATTTAGCAATAAAATATTTATTAAATTTAATTATTTTTCATAACAAATATTTAATATATTTTTAATATTATTTTAATAAATAAATATTTAATTAGCAATTTTGCATTGCATCATAATATTTATAAAACTATTTAAACAACAAGAGTGTGTTACTACTTCTTTAGATGGTAAAAAAAAAAAAGAAATCCAGAAAAAAAAGAACAAAAAGAGGGAACAAAGTCGCGTGTGTTTCGATTTAATCGTTAGAAGAAACAAAAATTTCATATGAATGTCGATCGCATGAACACGCCTATAATATATTATAGTAATCACCTCGTACATGTTCCAAACAAACCATGGGGGGCTCTTTTGCACGATATTATAGCTTTAAAAGTACTCTGACACGCGACCTAAACTGCAAAGGTGGTCTCTTTGGTTGCTAATGAAAATTACTTGAATAGAAAATTTGATGAAAATGATTTCCATTCACATTGGTTTATAGAAGAAAGAGGTGGGGGTGAGAGTGATACAAGAAATACATGTGTTTAGGTCAGTGTTTGTTTTAAGGTGACGAATATATGATGAAAACGTGAACGAGAAGGAGGAAAAAGAGGATAATTCCGCAATGCCTAACGACTTTGGCACGTTTCCCAACATTTTCTCTCATCTTCGTTTGATCACGACCTTGTCCAACCCACCTTCTTGTCTCTTTCCATTTCGTTGAACACGTCAATGCGCTTCTCCTTTCATTGGCCCATATCGTAATACCGATAACAATATCAAAACCTTTTTTTTATTGTTCATCACGTTTCACATATTTCTAAAGAAACATTTTATACTTTTGTTTCGATATTATATTTCATTTTGTTATTATTGTACAAAGATAGGTTGATGAGTTCTGATCACTATCATTTTATTATTATTTTTTTATT